GATTATTCTGTCCACAGATTAAGAATTCGGTTACACATTGTGCTATGAAACAATCATGAGTACAAGACTGAATCTGTTTTCAGGGCTGAATGGCCTGGCTCAGGCCACCGGGAAGCAGTTTCCCTCGGGGACCCTCCGTCACAGCGATGAGGAAGAAGACTACCAGGACAACTTCATGCTTACCACATCCTACAGCTTTCTCAGGTCTAGCACATTTCTATTAGGGCATGATTTAAACTGGTTTTTATTAACACTAAAGCTTTAGTCAGGCAGAATTGGAGCAAAAGATAGAATTTAGAAAAGGGAGAGAAATGAGGGAGATGGTGAGCATTAGTGCAGGTGTGAGGTGGGGGGAGGAGGGTGTGGGGGGAAAGAGGCTTGTGGAGATGAGCCCCTCCCCCTGCTAATCACCCCGGGCTCTGAGGTCCACTGCCCCATCTGACACTGCTTCCTGAATCCCACAATAAAGCTACCATGATTTTATCAACATGCTTCCCCAACAAAATGGAAGAGATTAAAAAAAAAATTTTATATTTCTATACTGTTCCCTCAGTGACAGATAGATAGTTCAGGAACAAATAGATCTGCTTTTGAAAAACTCCACTTCCTACCCAAAAATAAATTTTAAAAGAAAAAGGGCTAGGGGCATTAACTTTTCATTTTATATTTCACATATGCTTAAATTTTTGCTATGTCAACATAGGACATCTTCCCCTGAAAGTTTACCAGGCCTTTTAGAGAAGGTAAGGCAAGAGGCTCTTCCCTTTAGAATGTCCCTATGAGCATGCCCTGTGCTTCACGCTTGGATGGTATGGCACCACCATTGATGTTGGTACAATATGTATTGTCAAATCGCAGGCTTGAGAAACTGGTAAAAGACTGCACCAAACTGTCGGAGGATTACACAGTGTTAGCATCCAGATTTTAGCTATTAAGTAACGCTTTGTCCTTTTTTCTAACTTACATTTCACTCTGATAAACTTTTGGATATGTAAAAGTGGCAAAATTAGCCCTTATAACATTTTTTTCTTTCTGAAAATTCAAATGGTGATCTTTAGAACAGTAATTGCTTCAAATCTGAACCTCCACTTCCCACCCTAAAAGTACATTAACAAGTTTGAATCCTGCTAGGAACAAAACCAAGAGTAATGATTTCTGATAATGATCTGATAAATTACCTACCATAAGCTCTTTCTGCTGGCCTTGTGAGTCACACTATGTTAGGAAAAGTTTTACTTTCTCTAACCTATTATTGTAAACATATCTTTGATATATTCTTTTACATATTATAATATTTACATATTTTCTTTACCTATCCTTGAAACTACAGTTACAGAAACTATAAGACAAAAATATTAACTCATTTTAAGTCATCAATAAAAGAATGAAGGATATGGACAAATAATGTCAACTTTATTATCCTAGGATATGCCTTAAAATATAGTCTTATCTTAAAAAGTACTGGACAAATAATGTCACTTTATTATCTAGGATATGCCTTAAAATATAGCCTTATCTTAAAAAGAAAGGCACCCCCCCCCCACCTCCCATTGCTCTGGCTGATCATCTAAATTGAGAATTAAGATGTTGCTGGAGAAGCTACTGAACTTATAATAAATTTGAGAATAAACAACGTACAGACAGTCCTGACTTATAAAGGTTTAACTTACGGTATTTAGACTTTAAGTTGGTGCAAAAGCTATATGCATTCAACAGAAACTGTACTTCACATTTTTTTTGGATCTTTTCTCAGGCAAGTGATACGAAGTACAGAAACTCTCTCCTGATGCTGGGCTGCAGCAGTGAGCCGAGGCTCCAGCCACGCAATCACCAGGGTAAACAGCTGATACTCTACAGTGTACTGCGTTGCCGGCACATTTTAGACGTTACGTTTGTGATTTTTGCATCCCATCTACAAAATGCCCATCTGTGTCTTTTGCTTCTGGTGAGAAAGAAGAGAAAGGCAATTACTCTTGAGATGGAAACTCAGGAGAATTGCCCAGTGGTAAGCTATTGTGTTTTGAGCATGTTTAAGGTGGGTGAGGATAAGCTATGATGTTTGGTAGGTTAGGTATATTTAATGTAAGGATCTATGGAAATAGTCCACAAAGCTACAAATCAGTGAGTTAAATTTAATCAAATGGAACAAAATATTGATATTCACTGTTGTCCACAGGAAGTATCTTAACAATCAGGTGCACAGGGTATCCTGGTAAATTCACTGCTCCACTCTTCATCACTTCTCCCCACCTGTCCCCACTCTGTCCTGCACAATCGCTCCCACACGCAGCTGACCATTGTGTTCTCTCGGTCAAGATTCACCATAGCTTTCTACTCCTAGAGACTCAGGTCAATGTTCCTAAACTCTGCATTTCCTTAAGTCCCCTAGGGTTATAGACCACCTGCAGATCCTGGAATCCCCGTGTCTGTGTCAGAGCACGCCTGCCACTCTTTCTGGGCACAGTGCTCAACCACTGCATTGACTGATGAAGTCCTTTCTCTGTTTGGCCCAACACCCCCTGATTCTTGAAGACTTTTTGACCACACTGGCTAAGTTCATCACCCTCTCCCCAGCCTTTCCTTCCCAACTACCCTAAGATATGACACTAGGGTTTATTGTATGGGTGCCGTTTTCTTGCAGTAGATTCTGAGTTTCTGAAAGGCTGGGACTTCCATGTTTATCTCTGTCTCTGAGCACACAGCAGAGACTCAGCAAATCCTTATAGATAGGCTGTTGAAAGGCAGGCACAGCACACAAAGAAATTTCTTTAATGTAAATAAATTCTGGGCTTTGTTTGAAAAATGAAGAATGTAAATACCTCACATATGTAAATCTAGAACCTTCCATCATGCTATAAACATTTGTGACTGTTTTGTTGTGTTGCCAACATTGGTTCTAAGTAGGTAGCAAATAATAGTAGAAATTTATTGAAACCTTTCATTTACTGAGACTTAATTTGATAAATTAATTGTAGCCCCTTACCAGGGCTGTTTTCTTCCTCTCTTTGTCCACCCTGCTTATCAATGTGGAATGATTCATAAGCACATTCAAATAAGAGAAGATAAATTATATTTCTTTCTGTAGAAGGGCAGAAATTAAATTCAGGGGGAAGTGAAATATTCACCATACACTGATGAGTTTGGCTTTGTTGCTCAAAGTGGGAAAACCCTAACTCTGGTTGCATCCACACTAAGGAAAGTCAGTGTGGTTATAGGAAACTCTTATCTAAATCAGATGTCCTCATTTTTGGCTCCCAATGATGTGGTCACTCCTGGCCAGTAGCAGAAGCAGCACCTGTGTGCATGAACAGAGATGAATGGACAGGCATCCCAGTCTAACCTCTTTGCTCTAGGTCACATCCCAGACCCTAAGCTCAGCCAGATGGGCTATGAAAGGGATCTGTGAACCCACATTGGTCTAGCTCACCATCTGAGTTTTCATAGAATAATGTTGAATGTATGCTCAAACTGGCGGTGGCCTACATCCTTATCTCAACCATTGTGAATATTTAATTATGTTGCTATATTATTCAGGAAGAATTTTAATTGATGGCGCTAACCAGGTCTTTGCTGACTGTACTTCTACAATTGATTCTGAGGCACCCCCGTGATCTTCGTTAGGAATGACGACAGTCTACAAGTCAGGAATGCTCTGAAGGAAAAAATTACTTGAATAGTTGCAAATGACTGAAATCAAGTATAAAGGGTCAAAAGTGCCTGCAGTTTTAGCTTTGGGAGAGTTTTATTTCTTATGCTGCCACAGGATGTTTCAGGATGATAATAGACTTTAAGAAGTTATAAAATAGATGGCTCAACAGGGGGGTTTGGAGAACTGTACATTTGGCTTTTGATGGAGCCTATCCAGAGAAACCGTGTCCAAAGATCATTACTTTGTGACCTTGAGGAAAAGCAAACTCGCCAGAGGACTTCCTATTCCTGCCCATGAATGCGTGTCGATGTTTATGGAGGCAGACTCTCTTTATCTCCCTCTATGCATGCACATTTCACACAAGCACACACGCCTCTCTTCAAGACTGGGGGCCGAGAGCACTGCTATAAATATTCATGAGGTAATTATTATTAATGTCACCAAGGTGATTTTGTTCCTTCTCAATAGAGACGGGTTTTTGCACCTAGAAACCAATCAACTGTAGGAGAAATGGCAGCTTTGCACCAGCCCAACAAAAGCAATCCTGCACGTTTTACTTTTGAAAATCTAGATTATTTGACTAGATATTTTAAGTCATGTTTTGCCCTGCCCCATCATCAATCTTATCCAGCAGAGAATTCCAACTCTGGTGTACAATGCAACATCCTTGGGAGCACAGTTTCTAGAGTTTGGGAGAACTTGATTATTACATTCTTTTCTAAGAGCAAAAATTAAGCAAAACATAAGGATGATTCAAAGATACCTCAAGAGATTTCTGGGAAATGATTTTTATAAAAATGCATTGGGAGAAAATTACAACACATTTACTACTTTTATTATTAAAAATATTCATACAATAGGCCTTATATGATAGCTATTGTAAGAATTATAGGTTCTTGCAATCACAAAGAAAATTTTAAAAAAGCTACTGGCAACAATTAACTAGATCCCTATGTATATAGGTCATGGACTCGCCCCCAACCACCAGCTGACCTGCCTGGTTATCCTAATGTGCATGATATGCCATAACATGGGAAATTACTGGAAAGTACTGTTTTCCATCAGAGAAAATGAACTATTTTTGGTTGAAATGAAAATGTTTGTTTTTCTGCCCAAGACCTCATAAAATATGATAAATAAGTTGAACACTGGTATAGGTACAGGACAGCGGGAGATGCCTACACCTCATCAGCACCTCACTAGAAATGTTTTCACTAACTTCTCGTACTCCATTGCCATATCAGCAGTCATCCTTTCAGACACTCTGATCTTGAGTAAAACAGCAATTCAAGTTACAGGAACAGTGAACATGTATGATGACAGCAGGAGGCGGCAGTGACCTGGGACTCACCTTAGGCATCCAGTGGCATTTCGCAGCACCTGTGAGGAATGCAGCTGTATTTTTCGGTCGTCCTGAAGGGGTGAATTTTCCCAGCCCGAGTGGGGGATGATCACGGCATTGGTCAACACTGCCAGGGTGTCCTGGATGATTGGCATTTTGAGAGCATCACAAGACGAGAGATTCCAAAGGACTCCTGCAAGATAGACACCAACAGAGCTTTTGGATGGCCACTGCTTTCTCTCATCTCAAAATGGTTTTCCCTAATCAGGTTAACAGCATGAGCAGAGGGATTAAGGTAGTGTGTCCTAGAGTGCACCTTTAATTTTAGAACATCTATGTAAACCCATTAAAAGAGTGCTGTGGCCCGGCCAGTGTGGCTCAGTGGTTGAGCGTTGACCTATGAACCAGGAGGTCATGGTTCAATTCCTGGTCAGGGCACACACCAGGTTGCAAGCTTGATCCCCAGTGTGGGGCATGCAGGAGTCTATCTCTCTCTCCCTCTCCCTTCCTCTCTGAAATCAATAAAATATATTTTTCAAAAAAAAGAGTGCTGTGACTATCTGACAAATGGGGAGAGAAACTGTGACATGATTAACTTTGTTCCATCAGGGAGGCTTAAAGGTTGAGAGATTTGATTGACTTGAGGATACCAATTAGGCTTCCATTTCACTATTAATACAATGGACCCAAGTACCCAAATTCTAACCAAGACTAAAGAGCAGTGAAAGTTGTCTGAATAGGACTACCAGGGTACCTTGTTTTCTCCAAGACCTCTGTATGCACATGTGGTCTGTCTGATTTACTTAATG